AAATATGTTAATCAAAGCCAGGTTAGTTTATGTCAAATTATTGCCCGACATTGCTCTGATGTGGGTGCCTTTGTTCATATGGGCTTGCTTCACTTAGTAGGAGACATGAAGTTAAACAACACATGCAGATCACTGAATGTCTCTGAGTCACACCAATATGCCTTACCTGATTGCTCAATCGGAGAAATGACCGAATCAGATGCCGCCAAAAACGGAAACAGCGACATTTTGAAATTTCAAAATAAAACTAATAAAAAAATATATAAAATAGTCCACTTTGTGAGATATTACATGTTGAAGTGCACCACCACCAAAGTGTGATCTTGCATGGCATGAATTTACTGCCACAGAGTGTCTACAGGACTGAGGTTGCCGTCAGTGCCGCTGTCCCACCCGCGGAGATACCGACTTCCACACACGTATCCCTCCCTGGTTGTCTATAGCATTAACTGTACCAACAAACATGTCAATCAAAACAATCTAATCAGCTTCATGTCCACTTTAACTGCGACATGGCATAATAATTAATAAAACTTAATTTGTTATTTTTTTCAATGAATATCCTTACGAAGTTGTTTACCAACTTGAGTGGTTTATTGAGGTGGTGTAGTCGATGGCAGCTTGTAACAGTTATGACTAGGAACAAAGGAGACTGTTGACATGGAACGGCCACTGTTGTAGGTATATGGGAGGGGATATGTACCGCTTAGGACAAAGATAATCCCTGCCTTATCTCCCCGACATCACGTCACCGGGGGAACTGGCTGAGATATGATTATTGATATGCAGCTGGGGTTCACACTGATCAAGGTATGACAGACCAGATCCTACCCGTCAATTTCTCAACGTCATTTACAATGTTAATCTTGCCAAGAGATCTAATTAAAAATTAATCATCTGTGTATTGTGAGTGGATTGTATTGTTGAGGAGAATAGGTGAAGCTTTATCACAGGGGAGAAAATTATCCATGTGGAAAATCTGTGTATTGTGTACTTGGAATATTTCTAATTTTTTCCCAGGCACAAGTCAAAAGTTTTATGATCATTGTTAGTATATATATGTGGTGGATAAGGGTAATATGACATCATGACTGTTGATAGAATGCATTATCAGCGGTACCATGAACCGATAGTATCTATGTACCATCTGTTTGTGACTGGCAGATTCCGTCACCATTTTGTCATTAATGAGGAAAGAATACAATGGATCCGTGAAGCCAACAGCAACTGACTGCATTTTGTGTCCTTATGCACCCACCATTTAATATTCTTAGGTGTAGGGAGGGGGCTGTGATGTTTTCAAAACATGAATATTTTTGGGGTCACTGCTTCAAAACAATTTTTTATTTTTTGTGTGGAAGAAGTGCAAGTGATTTTTTACTGACAAATACATTCTTTTAGTAGGTGAGCGTTAAAAACAAATTCTCCATATCTAGTTGGAACATTTCTTCTTGTGTTATAAATGACATTATTCAAATTTTCAACAATAAATAATCACTTACATAGTAGCCCAAAATATACTCCTTGACATATCACAGCATGGATTTAAAGATACCTGCTTTCCCCAACTTCAGCTCATGTCCATGGTGTACAGGTAATCGGGGGGTAATTTCAGAACTGAAGCATTTTGCTGAGTCATATTGGAGCATGTATTAACTGTGTGCTATGAAAATACAAATATCAGTTAAGGCAATGGTTAATGAATTACATGATATGCATCTCACTACCAGACACTGTGCTTCTCTTTATTGTCCCCGATATTTACAGAAGAATTGCACCTGTGACTGTCCGCAATAATCACAAGACATAAGGATACACCCATAAAGCATGTAGTTCTATTTGCATGGTCTTTCTTACAGATCCCAGAGCATATATAGAGAATCTCACCCGAGTGTCTTTTGATATCAAATATATCACCACGAGTTGATAAAGTAACAAATATCCGAGGCTTGCCGAGGATATTTTTACTCTTATCAACGAGTGTTGATATACATGTATTTGATATCAGAAGACACGAGGGTGAGATTCTATTGATCATCAAAAATCACTCTTCATTAGTTTTCAATGAAAAATGTACATCTCTGAACACAGTACTGCCATTACATTTGCAGTGCAGCGATGTCATAGCATTGTGACGTCATCAAGTTCATGACATCATAGCATTGTCAGGGCATTGTGCAAAATCTACTGTCAAAACGATATCTCCTAGGAGATATCGTCTGATCTCACACAAGCGATATCTCCTGTGGAACACAGTTTTGGATGATAAATTTAGGTCTACCTGAAATTAGGTGATTTACAGACTCCTTACTTTAAAGACTATTACTCTAAAATCTGTTCTATTTAGCCATATGCATAAAAAATTAAGGGATTATATGTTAGTCTTCTACAAGTCCTCATGATAACAGTAGATAAACTGGATGTCATGTAAAAAATCATGATTTACTGTTAAGAGTGAGTGAGTTTAGTTTTACGCAGCTTTTAGCAATATTCCAGCAATATCATGGCAGGGACACCAGAAATGGTCTTCACACATTGTACCCATGTGGGGAATCGAACCGGGTCTTCAGCATGACGAGCAACGCTTTAACCACTAGGCTACCCTGCTGCCCCTCACTGTAAGAGATGCATCCTGTGGGAAAACCTTTGATTATGGGTTCAAATCCCAGTTCATCCTATTATGTTTTGTCTGCACCATACAATTGTTTTTAAGATTTACCAGAGTGGTAAACATCAAAAAGCTTGATCACTTCATATGGAATGAGTGTTCCTGCTGATCAGACAGGTGGCATGTAATGATTAATGATTATTTTGTAAATATAATTGTTTTAATAATGGTACATATTTTTTCAACTTTTGATGTATGGAAAGTTGAGAGGGTTAAACAGTTAAAGTTGCTCACCAGGAGCGCCCTCTGCCCCCTGCCTCCCACCTCCACCCCCAAGGTTGATGAAGCAAAACCTTTCTCAATACTAGTGCAGTTGTGTACCCCTTCTGCTTGTGTTTTCTGTAGAATATCTGTATTATACTTGAGAAAATATGAGCTGTCATGTTTATTTTTATTCTCATAAGAGGGCACTTGTAAGGATTACTTGGCAAGCACAAATTGGTCATGAAGCTGGTCGTGGGTTGCTCATTGGCAAGGCAGTTAACATGGCGAATAGATTAGTTTATGTAGTTACTGTCCTTATATGCAGTTGATCCCATTTACTTGCATGGCTGCAGACAAAATGACTAAACTGACAGTCTTACACTGCAAGACTTGAAGTCCCCATCAAATGAGACTGTCGAATATACCACCTGTTGCCATGATTCCACTCTGCTAACATGCTCAATAGTTCTATGTTCACAAACACAGAAACAGACAGACAGACATTGTATTCAGTACTAGGCCACTGGCCCAAAATACATTCATAGATATGATAAGAAGTGACATGCTTTTACAGAAAAACATCGGAATCTCTTATTTTCCCAACATTATGTAAAAACACAGAAACAGTTCTCCAAAACAGTTCTCCGGAACAGGCCATACAGAGTTTTTCCATATGTTTGTGTGTTAATCAAAATGTTTATCATGATTGATTAATACAGCTTTGATTTTTGGCTATTTGATATTTGATTTTTGGCTGTTAATGAGGCAGGTATATACAGAAAGATAGTGCTGTAGGTCTACAGGATGGTGTAGAATAACAGTAGTTATCAACAACAGACTTTCAGAAAATCATGCCACTCCTGCTGATCTAAGTTACAAGAGCATCCATCATTGTACATGACGCAAGCATAGACGATGAAGCCATAAGCTTACATCTTTAAAGTCTCATTTGGCCTATAGTAGATGCTTCATAGGGATTGTACTTATTTATTGGCCAGATATATTCACCATATTTGTGGTATTATGGAATTCGGCCAATAGCTGAGAACATTTTACATGCAGTGTGGCAGGGTTTTGGGGGGAAGGTGTAAAGGTCCTTGAGGTAAAGGTTGATAAGATACGAGACTCCACTCAATGGGTATCCCCTATCTCTTACTACAGAGCAAAGAACAGTGTATGACATTTGGAAAATATATTATGTAGTTAGAACACAATAGATCAGCTCACAACAGAAAGCAATAACATGTTTTGTGTGTTTGTGAACTGTGAGGAAGACTGACATGGGTGATTTTCTACAGTGGTGTGTCTGTACAAGTCTGTAGACGTCTGGCGTATGTCCAGGTGAAGATACACACAACTGGGGTACAAGTTGTTGCAGCAGATTTCAACCACAGACTTCACACAGTTATTGATAGGCTGACACTTAGTCTTTGAAAATACATTATTTTGATAGAAACAGATAATTTCATTTAAATTGAAAAGAAGCCTCAGCAAGCTGGGAGATTAAGAACTGCGAAATGTAGACTTGCTTCATTTCGGACTTTCGCGTTAGAAGGAAGGGTATTGTAAAGGGTAACATAATGAGGTTCAGGGGCTGTGAGACAGACTAAGTTATTGAGTACAGGTACATTTGAGGTGTTGTTCTGTAGCAGGGATAGCATTGGTTTTGCTACAGACGCATGACCTAAAGACATTTTCACACCTTGTCTCACAATACAATACTGTATCGTCATATCATTACACCATTCTGACCCTGGTATCAGACTGGTTCAGTGGTCCAGAACAGCTTGACTAATGTTAAAGGTTAGAAATTGGCATCTTTAGTGAGATACTGTCCAATATGATACACTTCTGAAGCTATCAGACGGACTGGAAATTAACGTTCACCTGCAGACCGATGTTATTAGTAATTACCTTGGGCTAATATAATTATAATTCCACTAACCCATGGGGCCTGTAAGTTTGTTGACACAGGCTGATAATTATATATCATCCTCTCAATTCCTTTAAACACCTTCCCAAATCTAATCTCCATTCTAGACACTTGGCATAAACATTTGAGCCTTTATTATTTGAAATTTGAAAGTCTTATTATGTTACAGGGACCATTAACCTTTTGCAGGGCAAGCAGAAAAAATCCTTCTGGCCCTCTGGGCCTGTTTGGTTTTTGAGTCAATTTCCATCCCTGATTATAGGTGGTGTGAGGACAAACAAATAATTACGTGTTAAAGTTACTCTTTTGCTAGAGCTAGCAGAAACTAATGGTTTTAGGGTGTGTTGTTCTGTTTCATTGCGATATGTTCTGGCAGTGTGCTCTCGTTTCGTCCTAGCTCTCTCTGAGGCAAAACTGTCTACTTGCTGGTCCGTTCTTATGCAATATTATCTATTTCGTGTTATATGCTTTGTGTGTTTATGAGCTGTGCGAGACAGTTTGATGTCGACTGGCGCACGTGCTATCATGTTCAGTGAATATGAATTATGGTAGATCATTGTGTAATAGGGTGATGATATGTGGTCCTTCTGTACTGAAATATTGATTAATATCGCTCATATGTTCTGAAGCGGGAAGATTTATGTGACAGGGTTTGAATAGGATGCAGGGGCCGGCTGCCGATGGCTTTGTTATTTTATACTCAAGCAGGTATCACACACCTGAAGAAGATGTCACAGAATTCATGCATTTAGTATTTTCTCACAGATTTCACACTCATGGGGTAGTGTAATCCAGTGGTAAAAGCGTTCACTTGTCACTGATGCCCGAGGTTCAGATCCCACAGGGTAACAGTTCGTGAAATCCATTCTTAGGTTTCCCTGTTGGATATTGCTGAAAGGTTGCTGAAAAAAGTGTTTTTCATTTACTTCCTTTATCAATAATATATTGTCATTATTTTAAGATGACCTTAGTACATTTATTCTTAAGTAAGGCATACATTACCCCAGTGTGTGTGTGCTAAATAAGTCTGCTAGCATGAGCAGGGCTGTTGATATAATAGATGATGGGATTACTAGAATGAATAGAATCCTACTTCACTTTGGCATTGAGGCCAAGGTTTTGTCACCTTTATTAAATAGCTTCAGTATAATTCATATTTATCTACAAGAACACATTCCATTGGTAGTAAATGGACAATTAGTGAAAAAATAAACAGATTTGATGGAAATCTGTGATGATACCTGGTGTTCCTGAAAAAATAACCGTGCATGCTCTACCAGACAAACTGCCCACTTCATAGTTGCAGTAAAGAGCATTTGTTTGTTGCCCAACAACAACATCATGGAAGACCCAAATAGGAAATAAATCAGTGTATGAATGGAAACTTATCAGGGACTTATGAGGAGAGATGGATTGTCAGCTGCTTGTGCAGGGTTAGGAAATAATGTGTATGTTCACAAGTCCTGCTATGTAGTACGTGTGCTGGCGATTAGGTGCCTGACTCTGAAGGTGTGGGTTTGAACCCTGCATGGGACTCAACCCAACGAAAGTACCAGAATCTGTCCACTGAGAAAGTGTAATCCTAACATATGCTACCTACGGTAGTCAGTGTCACAGTCCCTGAACTGAATTATTTTTCCTATTACATAACCGTCCCTGCAATGCTAAAGCTGTAAATGAAGCAAGTCTAGATTCCCTCAGGTTCAATTTCCAATCTAACTGGGGCTCCTTTTCAATTTAAAGGGGTTTATTTGTTACTATCAAAATTATATATATTCAGAGACTAAGCCTTAGTCTATACCGAATGGTACAAGTGGTTGACCAAGCAAATGCCACCAGCCCTATGTGTATGTGTATCTCCAACCATGCATCTCCCAGTGAGACGCAGGACACCTTTGTTTTGTGGCTGCTATTCTGACAGCGGTTTGGCACCCTCTGAGATCCAGCAGGACCACAGCAGCTCCACAACACAAAGGGTATTATGGTGTATAAAAGCTGGTGTGGGAGGTTTTGGATTTCAGCTGTTGTTGTTGGTTTTGTTCCATGAGACCAGGTCCTGTAGCAAAAATAGACTCTGTGTAGCTTTCTGCTGATACTGATAGCATTTTTAGACGTGAGTGTTTATTGTCATGCTCCACGTCTTTGTTGAAGAGGAGTCAGGCTAGCTGACACACCCAGCCGGTAGAGCTGTAATCATACTGGCAGTCTTACTCCAACTGTTATAATGTGTCCTGATGATTACCTTACAGCCAAACATCTGGACTCTGTAATGAACATATTTTACAAAAACAAACTGTAATTACTTGATAAAACCCTGAGAGACTACAGAAACTGCAGTAATGTAGACTTGCCAAATATTATCATGCTGTCATAGGATTCCGTGGTACTTACGTTTCCATGGTATTTTCTAATGACATAATTTCTCACGAGCCACTCACCAAATCGTGCCGCCTATCAATTGTTTACGTTCATCAGTCGATTGGCACGGCTCTAAGCAAAAAATGTTCAGACTTTCATCAATTCAATGCGTACGTACAGTCATCTACTATTAAAAACTAATGCAATTTTATGTCTAGCAGGTAATGCACTTTTTGTGTGATCTTTACAAACATTTTCTACAAACTTATTCAGCTTCAAAGTTTTCCAAACATCGCCCGTCTGTTAGCTGATGTTATCAATAATAAAAATCACGTGACCTAAGGGGGGAATCCCAGCTCTATTTTTTAAACTATGGAAGCCCGATAGGGTCATCTCTTAAGTTGTTTGTTCACTTTTCATTTCGCGTATCCCGTTGATTAACGCTACATATTTTATGAACTGGAAATATATGCTGAAGAAATGTGACTATTGTGTTAATTCTACAAAATTGTTTACTGTATTACAATTTATCAAATTCGTTATTACTGTAAACCGACACTGACACTCCCGGATTGGATGTTGACAATGTGTGAGATTGTGACATGTGCTGTGTGCCCGTAATTTGATCTGTAGGAAATACCATGGAAACATGACGTCACCAGATTTTGTGCACAATGGCTGCCTGTCGTCTGATACGGACAACAATGAACATCAGAATGACAAAAATGTTTTATTGACATTAAATGATACAAAGGTATGTCATCTAACACTATGTTTAGTTTATATGACTTGGCAATATGAGCGATCATATTCATAGTCATAAATTTCTTAATACAGCGGAAACCCATGACGCGAGGGTAATAAGAGGTAGGTTAATGGTTTTATCGGCATTCTAAAAGTTGGCGAGTCAAAAATGAAGCATGCAACTTTATGGATAACAACTTTTGTTCATTGCATTTATCGCCATTTTGGTGTCGGTTCTTGCACTGTTATCAAGCTAAGAGTTAACAAGACATTGTTATCCATAATATAGACTATGATATTACTTTTTGAGCTAGATTAGGTTTGGGTATTAATTTACAAATGATGAAATATGTATAGAAATATGCATGTATTGTATGAGGTACTGGCAAACAAGGATAAGTTGGACCAGCGCAGAGAATGCATTTACGAGAAGTAGGTGGTGCACGGCAATGAGCAAACCCATTTTGTTTGTGAAAAGTAGTGCAGATGTAGGCTAGTGCATGTGCATTACATGACAGTGAAATTGATTCCACATGTAGCTGCACACGCCTTGCTCATAAGACTCTCACGTCAGTGTAGCAAGTCGCACTACACTTGATCACGGACAACCTGGGGCCCCTTCACTAACAATGGCAAGCGCAGCACTCATACATGCTAATACGGGTCAATTGTCAGGTGGGTGTTCAACTTATCCTTGTTTGCCAGTAGGTTCCACTCCGATCACAGACCTGTGTATATGGGACTCTGTAATTTTAGATGTCCAGGGTGGTTGTTATATATGGCAGTGGGTACAATGTGTGAAGCCCATTCCTGGTGTCCTCCACCGTAATGTTGCTGGAATATTGCTAAAAGTGGCGTAAAACCATACTCACTCACTCCATATGGCAGTATGTGTCCCAAGTGCTCCATGCTAGTCATATAGAACAACAAGCAAGAATGGTTTAAATGTATGACCTGGATCACACTTTTTGTCCCCAACACCATGGATTGTTACATTTTGGCTTGATTGTTTCCCTCATGATATATGTGAGAGAGTAAGGTTTAACAACCTTTAGCATATTCCAGCTATATCATGATAACAGAAACTAGCATCACACATTGTTTCCATAACTGGAATCAAACCCAAGTTTACAGTGTTATGAGTGATGTTCTAACCACAAAGGGGGCAAGGGGGTAGCCTAATGGTTAAAGCGTCTTCTTGTCACGCTGAAGACCTGGGTTTGATTCCTCACGTGGGTACAGGGGCGGTGGTGTAGCCTAGTGGTTAAAGCATTAGCTCGTCACGCGAAAGACCCAGGTTCGAATCCCCACATGGGAAGCCCATTTCTGGTGTCCCATGCAGTGATATTGCTGGTAGGTTGCTAAATATGGGGTAAAACTATACTCTCTCTCTCTCTCTCTCTCTCTCTCTCTCTCTCTCTCTCTCTCTCACACACACACACACTCACTCACTCACTCACTCACTCACTCCACTAGGCTACTTGACTGCCCTGTTATATATGTGAAATGATGCAGATTGTGCCTCAACGTTACACCTTCATTGACCCCTCTCTGTTGTAGGTGATGTCCTGGGTCTGCTGCTGGATGTGGATAGTCAGAAACTGATCTTCTACCTGAACGGAGATCCCCTGCCTCCCTTTACTCAGCTCTTCACCTATGCACGGTAAGTGTCCGCCTCTCCCTCTGATGGAAGCAAAATGTACCAGGATTGAAATAAAAATATTAGAAGAAAATAAACAAGTGAGAGCAGTTTTCATCCAGTTACTGATTTGGCAACCTAGATTATGCGGCTTATTTAAACTGTATTTGCAGGAAATAATATGAATAAGGAAATCAGAGACAGTTTGTGATTATAAATGGTGTTTCACTAGTAGTAAAACTGTTCAAATACAAAGTTTCAAGTGTCAGTACTTGTGTGACTTCCAAGCATGGCTTTACAATGCCACTGGAACCTGAAACAGCAAAGCTTGAAATCTTCTACCTATAGTATATAGGTTTGGCTCAGATGGATCCTTGGTGCATCACAGCTTGGATATCAGTGCAGAGAAAAAGAATTAATCTGACATTAAGAGTTTTTAGGAATGTTAAGAAAAATTATTGTTCCCTTGAAACTAAATAGTGAAAATGTTGAATTTCTTTTTACACATTTCCATAGACTATTATACATGTCCATAAGCAAAACTTCAATGTTTTAGATGAGCATATGGCCTAAAAGAAAATGTTGTTGTTCCAATTACCCGACCGACCCTTGAATGCCGGAGCCGACCCATTTTTTTTAAGCGGACTGAATAAAATAAGCTTTCAGATACGATTGTGTTTTCCCGGCACTGACCAATATCGGTCATTCTGACAGAGAAAGTCGACATGATGACCGCAAGCTTGATTGAATAAACAATTACACATTGATATATGTGTTATTAGTTTGTACTTTCCCTTTAAAAAAAATATGTTAAAAAAAAATCCTACCTAACTACCCTAAATTTTATAGAGGTTTAATCAGAACCTCAACATTATATTTGTTTGGCCTAAGTATCATTATATTTTAGTGTGAATAGCCATTAGTCTACTGGATAATAACAGACATTTGGAAGGTTTAACCAATAAACATCATTATAAAGATAGTGATGTAACAGTGTTGCCTTCTTCAACTGTCATGTGGAAAAAGTTACAATGTTTACATTATGTCATAACATTCTTTCAAAGCATACATTTGATAATGATACCTTACAGAAAGACTCAATGTGTCTTTTCTGAATTTCTGATTTTTTTCCAAGTTATTCCTGTTGTTATTAACTCTGACTGACTGAGTTTGGTTTTACGCCGCTTTTAGCAATATTCCAGCAACATCACGGCGGGGGAAACCAGAAATGTGCTTCACACATTTTACCCATGTCGGGATTTGAACCCGGGTCTTCGGCGTGACGAGCCAACTCTTTAACCACTAGACTACCCCACCGCCCCTTATTATCCCACCGGCATGTAATGCGGTGGGATATAGTCGTCGCCTCGTCCGTCTGTCCGTCCGTCCGTCCGTAATCATTTTGTTTCCGGAGCATAACTCAAAGACCGTTCGATATTTTTTAACCAAAATTGGTAGATATGTCAAACATAACCTAAGGTGGTGCCTTTTGCTATTTACAGATTATTGTCATTTTTATTATTCTCGGTTTCCATGGAAACGTTTTGGACTTAGTCTTAAAGAAGGGTGGGCTTCGTTTCCGGAGCATAACTCAAGAACCGTTCAATATTTCTCAACAAAACTTGGTAGATATATGAAACAGATCCTAAAGTGGTGCCTTTTGCTATTTACAGATTTTTGTCATTTTTATTTTTCCCGGTTTCCATGGAAACATTTTGGACTTAGTCTCAAAAAGTAAGGATTGCTTTCGTTTCCGGAGCATAACTCAAGAACCGTTCAATATTTTTCAACAAAAACATGGTAGATATATCAAACAGATCCTAAAGTGGTGCCTTTTGCTATTTGCTGATTTTTGGCATTTTTATTTTTCCCGGTTTCCATGGAAACGATTCGGACTTAGTCCCAAAAGTGAGGGGTGCGCTTTAAGTAACTGTCAGATGATTTGTTCTTTCAAAGATGTGGGGACCGGGGGGATATGTCATCTTCTGATGACTCTTGTTAACTCTGAAGCTGCCTCAGGACCATTTCTCTCTACATATTCTTGTGTGTTTTCAGGAGTGGTTTCTTTGCTGCTGCCAGTTTCATGTCATTTCAACAGTGTGAATTCAACTTCGGTGACAAGCCATTCAGCTTTGCCCCCAATGTACCATTCAAGAGCTTCAACGACTTCGGGGAGCTGACAAGTGAGGAGAGGATAATCTTGCCCAGGTCAGTTCTTCCTGTTGTCCCAGCACCCTGTACTGATCTCATTTTAGGGTTATATCAGTGTATGAAATAAGCCAAAAAACCTGCCAGACATTCGGGCTGGTAACTTCAAAATGTTATCAGACTTAAATGGATTTAACCAGACCAGATAATTCAAAGAAAATAACTCAATGTTTAGTTACTATGAATAATTTAATGAACTTGAGACGTGCGTATGTACTCCGCACATCGATAGGTGTCGCTGTAATAGTGACAATATATTTCAACGCAGTGCTTTGAACTTGCGATATGACAGTTCAGTGTTCAAACAGAAATTGTCAAGTCTAAATGTAATGCTCAATTTGAAAATTAGATTTTATGATATGGTGAATTTACTCAGATGTATGGAACATGTTATCTAAAATGTTTACCAGATCATCGGGCTCGCTGGCAGTAAATTTAGACCTCCCGTGAGAAATCTAGCCCGTCTTGGGCAGTCGGACGGGCCTTATTTCGGACACTGATTATATGGCACTCTGTGCTCTCCTCCTTTGGGGGATTCCAGACATGATACGTCCCTCACATCCGAAGCTTTTCTCCATTTGTGTATTTGAGAGAAGAATATGTCTCCCTTGATTGATTCTCTTTTGGAAATCTTGACACAATATTTCATTAGCACCTCTTGTTTGTCTCCCCTTGTGTATACCCGAGGAATATACCCAAGCGCAAAGAGTCCTTTGCGGAGATTTGCGCTATATAAATGCTATCCATTATTATTAATATAGGTTATCACGAGATGTGTTTTGGGATGGTTAATATCTGCCTTCGGAACAAACATTGTATTTTAGCGAGCCTTGGCGAGCTAAATACATAGTGTTTATTCCTAATGCAGGATATTAACCATTCCAAAACACACAAGTGTGATAACCTATTTATCATACAATATCATTCTTACGTTATAAGTTTTAAAAATGTGATTTCTGCCACAAAGCATGAAACTAAACTTCGTGGAATGTGCACTGCGATCTATGACATCACAAATATGTGCGTAGTAATATGTTACATCACAAGCTCGGTGACACAGTTTTCATCTAGTTGTTAGGTCTAGTTTCCAGTATGTTTTTATGTTAAAGCACGTATTGTTGTCAACAAATCTTAGCTTACATTTGAAAAATAGCAACAGACTAGTGTGGAACTTCAGAAACCTTCAATTAACCTTTTGAACAACAAATACACTTTAATGTTCGTGTGACATTCGGCACCTGGATTCTGGTGCCGTCTGCTCACTAACACAGTCGGTCGGGGAACTGGTGTTGGTATCTTCGTAAGCCTATGAATATCTATCTTGGCTTCGTAATCCACTCCCTCTGTCATTACCAGACATGAATTATCTTGGATCAAAGCACTGACAGTACCATAACCACGGCTGTCAATCCAGACACGATCGCCAATAGATGGACCTGAAGCCATGTTTGTTTACACTGTGAAAACAGTCTCTAAAATTTGCATATGATCTCTCAAACTTTGCATCGATATCCGTATGTGACCTCAACGGATACTTAAAATATGTTTTATCTGCCTTTATCCTGCCAAAAACACTATCCACTGTATGATAAAATTTATCTTACCTCACACATAAATGTCGTTTTCTGATTGGCTGATCCAGTCAATGTACCCCGCTTACAAGCAAACATTTTGTATTACCCGCTGGAAATGCCAAACTGTGGGAATTTGTTTGGTACTTATTGTTAGTAGTTTATGGGCTGTTGCCTAACTCCGGTACTCCTTAGCATGATCCAATACCTGTGTTTCAAACAGTTCAAAATTAACATTGATATGTTCGGTAAGATAAATACGTTGTTCACTGGTCACGAGGGGGACATGGGTTGATGTACCCTCTATGTTTGTTTATGTTCCCCTCGCCCTTCGGTATATCAACCCATGCCCCCCTGGACCAGTGAACAACCTATAATGTCCTCACACTGCATCTTGAGAATATTCTTGATTCACTCACTCACTCACTCACTCACTCACTCACTCACTCACTCACTCACTCACTCACTCACTCACTCACTCACTCACTCACTCACTCACTCACTCACTCACTCACTCACTCACTCACTCACTCACTCACTCACTCACTCACTCACTCACTCACTCACTCACTCACTCACTCACTCACTCACTCACCACTCACTCACTCACTCACTCACTCACTCACTCACTCCTCCTCCACTCTCACTCACTCACTCACTCACTCACTCACTCACTCACTCACTCACTCACTACTCAGAACGTAAGTAAGTAAGTAGAAAGATAAACATATACTGTTCATGTTCCAGGCACAAAAAGTTGGATTTGTTGAAGCAAGTGACTGTGAAGGAAGATTCCTGTACGCTCTGTTTTGATCGCCAGGCCAACATCATGCTGAGGCCATGTAAACACAGGTAAGGACACATTCTTTTGGCAGCAGGGTTTTGGGTAGGTGAGAGATTTACAGAATTTTGTCCAAACAATCAGCTTGGTAGGTAAAAAGATGTCATTTGTCATAATTCATTGTGTTTAAAGTTTTAAAGATAAATCGCCAACAGGATTTAGTCATATGTTTCAAGTGAACAATTTGAATCTACTTTGACAGTGTGGTTTGTTTTGAACACTTCTTTTCAAATGTTTTTGTTTTTCTCTTTTCAATTTTTGTGAATTTGCAAGTGATTATGCTTACCACTGGTAATTCTGACAAATTGCGAGCCAAAATGAAACCGAGAGCGGCATAAAACAGCATTCACTCACTAACTCTATCACTGGTGATGTTGCAGGGGTTTCTGTGATGTCTGTGCCTTGCTACTAGAGATCTGCCCAATTTGTCGCATGAGCATAGTGGAACGACAAGAGGTTGCCACGGAAACCGAGCTCCCAGAGCCACCCAATGAGAACACAGATGAACCACAGATGTCATAACATCTACATTTTAGTCCTCCCATCTACACCTCGTCTACGACCCGTCAAGAGACCGTTGATGGGGATTGTTAAAGCATCTAGACCTCCGGTCATGTGTTATATATATTATCATTCTTACTGTACAGAAGTGTGATGTTATGCTAATTTATATTCATAAATTCTGTAAATGTTTGTATTATCTGCAATCAAGCCAGAAGTTGTGAATACTATGAAAGAATCACCGAGTCGATGACTCTTCTACATATTAAGCTGTTGTATATCCAGAGGAGTCAGTATGACAGAGACACAGCGTCAGTAACATTTTGTATAGCCCTTACGCTGTAAAGACAGTCTTTTATAGATACTTTGGTGAACTTTTATCCAAGTCAGTTGACGTAAATTTTACCAAAGACAAGCCCAGTTGAAAATATTCATTGCTATTTTTTCCATTTTGTTCCAATGTCAGACTGTGGTAACACATGTATCTATTCAGATTGCCTTGCTAACTCACTATCCTGTCCTCTTGAAAAAGGTTTACACCATTGACAGATATTTAGGCTAAGAATAGTGTTGAGTCTCAAGTTTACGAATTTTTTAAGATTTGATGCAGGCAGGTGGCCATGTTTTACTCTCACATTGACATCATCAATATGAGGTTATGTCTTTGGATTTCATCCGTTCCTTTATCCAGCTGTTTGTTGAGTCAGTTAGTCTCAATTATAATTTTTCTTTCTTTTATTATATAGATATTTTATCATGATTATGTCTTTGGGTTCAAAGTATTGGAATCATTTAGAAGCATCAAGAACACTTTTAGTTAAAAATGAAGCCTCCAGTTTGTTTTATCAAAATGCATACCTGTCAACTCTCACGCATTTGCCGTGAGTCTCACGCTTTATTGACAAATGTCACACTCTCACGCGTCCAAATAATAATCTCACGCATATCTGGTAGCCGAAAATAATTTCAAAATTAATACGCATTTTCGTTCGTTTTTGCATGAAGTTCAACACTGAAAGAACGCCTGAATGAACGAAGTACTAAAACGATGTTTATGCGAATGATTCGGCTTATTATTATTTATTAGCATGCATCTTTTAGTGTCAAAATAATGCCACCAGAAGGCTCCAAATGCTCCTGAAAATCACTAAACTTCATTTTCGGGGACGAGGGGCTTTGCCCCCCAGAGACCCCCACCAGGGCGTCGCCCTCGACATGACCCCGGCTGGACCCCGGCTTATTTTTTTCAGTCTCACTCCAAACCATCTTTAGGGGTTGACAGCTCTGAAAATGGTCTTCATCAGAAATTTGATATATGGAACAGGGAAGAAATTAACCTTGAAGGTGTCCTAACATAAACAGTGATGATGTTGGAAACACCCTTAAACAGTTAATGTGCCTCTTTGGATTTCTTTGCATTAGAAAAGATCATTTGGGCTAGGGATTCAATTCAATTCAATGCTTTATAGGGGACCCATTTTATATAGATATGGCACAGTTGAAAGGGATTTTATATAGATATGCCACAGTTGAAACTCCATCTACGCCAGAGCTTTATTTTTAAGTAGACACATCTTGAAATGGAAGATGTTTCCGGAGTGTATTGTCAATATACACTTTAATATTACTAAACTACTGTTGTAGTACTTTGTAAAGAATCAGTTTCTAATGGCTACAACTTTATTATTGTTGTTTTTGAAATTGTAAATTGGTTTGATTCAGTTATTTTGATTCTTTTGAAGCAGCATCTTGCATCCTCCAGCTGGGTCTTCTCTCATTATATCATCCCACAAAGGTGAGCTACAGTACCAAGGTACTATATTGAAAAAAATGTGATAAAATACTACCCAGGGTCCTAAGTTCCAATTTTGATCTCAAACAAACATGGTTTTGCTAGGAAACAAGGTGTTCTTTACCATGAGAAACAAGAATGATATAAGATGAATTTTAAACAAATGTCTTCTGATCAAAGGTTTTTGAAAGATATTTTACTAGCTTTTAATGATTGGTCAGTGATACTGTGTTGGTGTTGTTGTACAGACAGTTACCAAAATAATGTATGCTTTTGGTTGAAACGTGTGGCAAAGGAATCTTTTTATTATTATTTGGTTATGATGATTGTCATTAGAATCTACCTTGTTCATTTGAAGAGTACTTCATCAGCTTATGTTTAAACTTCCACAATTTTCTATATTGATCAACTAATCACATGTTGGATTTTACTAGATTTGGAAGATTTTATCGACGACATAATGTCACTTTACAAAAATTTAATGACAATATATTGTTTGTTCAACAACACAATGGCTGTGATTTTTTGCCAGTTTATCTTTTAGGACTTTGGGTAATCTAACAATGTCTTGTTTTTTTAAGACTGTTGATTATTCAATTCATGAAGTGTTAAGCTTGATATTTGTTCTCTTTATTTCATAAGTATACAATTCTGACTATGGTTTAATAGTGATTGGGTTGTCATGGTAAGATTCTTACTGTATTTGCCATGAAAAGCATCTTTGACATGTAGGAAATTCACAAAGCATGGCACTTAGTGAAACCATAAACAATAAGTTTTGTTGGCCAATTCGAACGACAGAGAACAAACTTATTTAAACATCAGTGAACTAAAACTATTCTGAAAGTTACCATGCAAATATATTCTCTGACTTTTCTGTTGTTTTCTGTGAAATTCTCAGGTTTAGTCTTCATTGATGACAAAGTTAATTATACTGGGTCATCAAGATGATAAGATGCAGGCTTAATATTGTGAATACAGTACGTACACTTTCATTTCTACATTTTTTGTATGACAAATGAATGCTTGTTATAATTTGTGAGGCAAAATCACAGTTTTGTTACAGATTGAACCCCATAAGCCTTAAGCCTTTATTTGTATTTTTCCTAGACATTGATTGTCACTTGTGTTATGGGTGTTTGTGTAGTGTTGATGCCTATAGAATGGAAACTGTTAGTGATTTCTCAAAGATTTATTTTTATGTTCCTGAAAGTTATCGATTTATTCACACTGATCGGTTAGTGTCATACATTGTCTCTGCTTTAAATGCCAACATTTTGAAGTTGGGTAAGGAGACCAGTCTTATGTTGAATCAAATAAATGTGTAAGAAATTAGATTAATCAAGGTTAATTTTTTTACAAGGGCCTGTTCTGCAGAGTGATCTTAGCACTAAGGCAGTCTTGAGTTCCTTACAGTAATACAAACTTATCACGCTTGTCATACGAAGCCTTCATTTCGGGGAACCTGACAGTTTACTCAGGGCCCTGTTCTCAGTGTGCGAAATAGTTTCCAAATATTGCTAGCCGGTCGGGCCAGCTATGCCTGAAAATTACTAGCCCACAAAATAATTCACTAGCCAGAAATATGAATGTAGAAACTAAGCAAAATATTACAAAAAGGTAAAATATCATCTTTTATCCGGCCATAATCTTGCATGATTTAAAAGTGTATTATAACTTAACAAGTCGGAGAGAGTGGTATATTTAAAAAATGAACCCATGAAAATTCACTAGACAGTTGGGCCAGTGACTGTGGAGATTTAATGGCCCAACTGGACTTTTACCAGCCACGGGCTAGCGGACCAGTGGCTATTTCACACACTGCCTGTTCTGCAGAGTGATCTTAGTGCTAAGATGACTGATGCTTCTATACATGAACAATGACTAATTACAGTCATAATGGTAAGATAGCCTTGTGGAGCGACGTCCTGTATATAACTATGATAAGTGTTTTAGTTTTATGATTAGACCTCACAGAACAATAACTTTTTAATCCTTGCTTCCTTCATGATGTATTTGATGGACATCACTCTTCATCTCTACTTCAAGTACTGGTTACAATGAACAATTCACTAGAATTTGTTACACCATTCTCACTTCATTGGTTGTTAGACGTTGGAAGATCTTTGGCAATCATACTTGGTGCAATAATGTTGAAGTTATGATAGAATGCCATCCCACTCCGGGTCCGTTCCACAAAGTGATCGTTATGACAATAGCTCCTATATTTTAACATGGACATTCATAGATCACTTTGTGAACATGGCTGAACCAGTTTGAACCAAGCAAGACCCACCCATCCTGCAATATACATGGTAACTGTACTACTGTCAGCCCAGTCGCTAAAAGTCACAATATGAGACAAGACGATTGTTTCCTTGTTTTAAGGATTGTCCTCAGCATGGCAGAATTTACAAATGTAAAACATATTTCCTGAAACTTGCATTTATCTACATCAAGAGCATATTATTTAAGAATAATCCTCCACTGAGGCAGAAGGATGATTTGGTTCATGAATATGAATTGCTGAAGGTCATGTGATGTGTATGCTGACCAATGAAATCTATAAGATAAGGAAGCAATTGGCCTGTCCCAATAATTATCATATACAGGTGATATTATGTGCATGGATTATTCTGGCTAGGAGAACAGAGAGAGAAATATGCCAGTGGTATTGTATAAAATAGATCTTTTAAAAATAATGTTATTCTTGAGATTTTCAAACAAAATTTATAACATGATCATAATTACTATGTATGCAGGGAATATGTTGCAAGGTACCAGATAGCAGGTTTCCATTACATAATGATTCATACATAATGGTAAATTTTGCCGATTTGACCCACAATTGAGAACTAGTATCATGCCTCCAAAATCAGCAATGTTTTTTCGAGATTGTAAGTATGCATTCTGCAGCTGCATTTGATAATTCACAAGTTCATAAGTTCCTATATAAATCATAAATTAATCAGTGATATGTGCCACTTTATAAATGTCTCCAAGAAAGAGATCTTTGAAGGATTGTTCCAATAAGATCTGTGAAGTTGTGGCAGAAACAAATGCTGATCAATCAGCTGATTCTAAATAGCTGCTGATCAATATATTTTTTAATTCTTTGAAATGGGAGGAAATTAGCCTTATTACCCTGTATACATTGAAGTAAATACATTTTATCATAAGTTTTATCATGTTGAAATGTGGCTAGACTAAAATATAATGTTAAATCACTGAGGTTTATCTTGCAGCTTCAGAGCCAGTCCATGGAAATTCTTAATTTGGTGATCATGGTGTTAAAGTTTGATTTGTCATAGATCCTTTCAGCCTCTTTCGTTGAATTTGTTTTGGGGGCACATTTGGTGCAGTTGTTCGAGGCTCTGATCTCTACAGGATTGTGTCCCTTGGACACATCAGAACCATGATTGTGGGTTCAAATCCCGGTTCCTAGACATGTCAGCACCACTTTGTGTTTAGTCTCCCATCAACACCTGGAATATTATTCAAAACAACTTAAAACCAAACTCACTTGATCATTCATTGAACATTGTATGCCACAAGCAAGTAAAAAAGGTTGCAAGTTTCAAGTAAGTCTTTCATCACTATATGGCTGTAATATTGCAGATGCGATATAAACTTTTAACTCACTCACTCACTCAAGAAAGTCTTGATATGTGTAATAAAACTGACACAAAATACTGAGGTGAGACTTATTCTGGATATTTTGTATTCTTATATTTTCATATATATGGCTCTATTGAGAAGTCATTACATTTTATTAGGAATAAACACAGGGTATTTGAATAATTTGGTTTCTCAAAATACTCTGTCTGTGTTTAACAGTCAATTCTAAGCTTAAATCAGTATGGAGACAGCAACTGTCATACGTTTTTATTAATAAAGAAATAATTAATGCCTAAAAATCCAATATGGACATCATGGCTAAGTCTGTATAACTGTTAGCCAATATGAATTCGAAATACACTGATAATCTGTATTGCTTGGCTTGGTTGTTTCTGGAAAAATCATCAGCTTTTGTGTAATTCATTAAAATTATGTCTTTTATTACCTCACTGTCATTTATGAGTATTTTGGCTGTAATGTATTTTGCAGATAGTGCCCTCTTTGGCAGGGCTGTCTACTACAAGTATAACAATAGTTAGGTGTTCCTGCAGTCGTGGATTTTCTGATTGACTGTCCTTGAATTGAGTCTGATTTTATCAGGATATGATTTATTGTAATTGTTGATTATGTATGCACTTCAATACACCAAAGCAGTTTCATTTCACATTTGACCAGAAACCTAAACCAGTTTGAAGATTTTGTTAAGGAAAGGTGAGCTACAGTGTATTTGTTCCTGTTTGTTTACACTGATGTGTTGTAAGGCCAACATTTGCCCAGAAGTCAGACTGTCACAAATCATGCACTGATTTTTATGCCTAAACAATTAACATTTCATATTTAAGTGGCACAATAATTTAAATGTCCTGGCTGAAGAGTTACTTAACATACATTCATCTTCATAAGAGTTCAGGCTTCCATGTTTTTCCGTTAATGGAAATGCCGTGAGAATATGGACTCATATCAGAGATTAAATGACTTATTGGAAACAACATACAATGCATTTTACATTCACTGTTCAAACTTGAGCATAAAAGTGGTCCTTGTTGTTAACCATATGTTAGACAATTTAGGGTCTGTGACTTAACTACTAGAGGAACATGCCTCACTTACACTATAACACTCTACCACCTTATTTCATGCTGATGATATACTGATATATATGAGATACTGATAACTGTGCAGTATATGTGGCAAAGGGGGATAACTGTGTTGCTCTTAATCACTTAACTTCAGCCTTGGATTTACTGACTTCTCTTGTGATCATTAGTAATACTGAGATGAAAGTTTATGTCAACAAACAACGTTTGTAAACTGGGTCAGAAAGTGAGCCTATGACAGCAAGACAATTTGAAAGAAACCCTGTCTTCTATTAAGTAGGCTGAAATAAGACACATGTTTACCTTATATACTGTTTGAGTGATGTACTGGAGTAAATATATTCTGTGTTGGCAAAGTTTACTGAGATACATTTATTACTGTCAGTTTTATTATAATGATGGCATTTGTTATGTCGTATATGTGTTTATGAGATAAGTAAACATGAGATACTATGGGACGCTTGTTTAATCCAGAGAGTTTAGATCCCACAAACATATAGATTTCCAAACTGACAGACATGTACAAAGAGTATGGAGTGGTTATTAGGTCTTTGAAGTCCTTGTAACAAAGCAAAAACAAATGGTTATGCTGACTGTCGATTATTTGCTGCTGATTAGCATATGCTGCTGCTTGTCATAATGG